TATATATATATATATATATTCCAAACACTTAAACTTCATTTTTTACACACACATCACCTTACATGTACATGAATGTTTTTACAAACATATTGCATTTTAATTTTTACTTACATACAGCTTTGAATGCAACAAAACACCTAAAAATAAGCTATTATTTTAAAAGTTGTGGTATTCATTCTTATTTTTTTATTTTTTTTTCAAAAAGTCAGACTTTCAGCTTTTTAACAGTTACCACACTACATAGGAATTGACACTTAGTTAAATCAGATTGTAAAACACAATTTTTTTGACAGTTACCACACTACATAGGAACTTTATTTTGCAGCTTTTTGACAGTTAGTCAGGTCAGATTGTAAAACACAATTTTTTACATCATAATTTTGTGAGGAAACATGCTAAAAGGATTTGAGGTAAAAATTTTAAAATCACATCCCTAGCTAATTGCAGATCAAAGAAAAAGATAAAAGGGGCATTTACATACATATCACATAAAGTGAAATACACATTTCTATGGTGGAATATATATGCAAAAAATAAAATTTTGATGTTAAATATGCAAATACATAGGAATTGAGTGGTATGCATGTAATTTTCCTTTTTCTTTCGTTTACAATTTGCCCCTTCTCATGGTGATTTACATGAGGAAAACCATGCTCATGGAAGAGCTGTTAAGTATTGTGGAAGAGCAGCAGTCAGCCAAATAACATAGACTCATCTTTGTGAAAAGCTTCAGCAAAAACTGCACAGAATGTTGAGGAGCTGAGCACAAAATGAAATTTATGAGACATTTATATTTTACGAAGATTTACATATATACCACTTAATTCCCATGTATTTACATAGCTGGCACCTAAACTTCATTTTATACATACATATCACATTATCTATGCATGAGTAGGTGCATTTCACTTCTTAAAAGTCAAAAAATACTTGTATTTTCTATGATATATGAAAGATTTCGATGTTATAAGTGTAAAAAGTAAATTTTAGGTGTTAGATATGTAAATATATACAAATTAAGTGGTATGCATGTAGATGTCCCTATCTTTTTCTTCAAACATATTTTTAAGTTCTGAATATTGTGCAGGCATTCATTAACACTGCTGCAACAATGTATAAGAAAATTAAGGAGTGTGAAGGTCTTTCTGCATAAATTTCATAGGTTTCTGTTGCCTTTCTTGAGGGGAATATGCAATTTTTAGATGTTTGAAAGATGGGTGAGAACGAAGTGATGATAAACTGCAATTTCAATATAAAAAATAAGGGGCATTTATATAAATAGCACACAATTCTTATGTATTTACATATCTCACGCCTAAACTTGCATTTACATCTATAATTTCACATCAATAATAGCACTATTATCACTTCTTAAAAAGTGAAATCCACATTTTCATGCATAAGTTAAAGCAGCAAAGTGGTATGAAAGCAAATATGAATTGTTAGGTGTGAGATATCATAAAAAATACTCATGAATCAAAATTTTGATGTGTACAAACAATAGAGATGTGAACCCTGATGCATACAGATGCTAAAGGAGAAGTTACATAAGGGGCATTCACATACATACCACTCAATTCTTATGTACACCAAAATTTTACTTTTTTACATTTATAACACCCATTTTTTCCATATCACATAAAAAATAACACTATCTTAACTTTTCAAAAGTGAAATACATCTTTTCACGCATAGTTAAGGTCGTATGTATGCAAAAATTGAAGTTTAGTTGTTAGATATGTAAATACATCATATTTAAATGGTATGTATGTTAATCTTCCTGATTGCAAATAATGGGTAACTCAGCCAGTATCATATTTAAATGGTATGTATGTTAATCTTCCTGAATGCAAATAATGGGTACAGACTCAGCCAGCAGTAGTAACGTGATGTAGTAAATCTTTTTTGCATGATGGTTGAATATTTGCATTCAGAAGAAAGAAATCTGTAATGAAAAAGTTTCAGATTTACCTTTGCAATTGACTCAAAGCTAAGATAGAGTATTATAGATTTCTTCTCGTTTTGAAAAGGTTAAAAAAAAAAAAAGCCGCCAAATTCCCATGTATTTAGTATTTACATAATTAACGCCTAAACTTTGGTTTTTACATTAATACCAACCAAATCCCTCTTTCATATCACATCAAAAGCACCACCATTTTAACTTTTAAAATGTGAAAGACACATTCTCACAGGTGCTAGATATGTAAATACATAGGAATTGAGTGATATGTATGTAAATGCATTAGAACAAATATAAAATTCGAAGGCAAAAAAATGGAAACTTTCCCTTTTTGATTTTTGAAATTACCAAGACCACCAAATGGAAACTTTCAGGGAAAACCAGAATCATAACCAAATTCACAATTTTTATTCAAAATTCGAAAAAAGGATTATAATAAATTTCAGGAAGCAAAAGGAATGGCATATTTCCTTTTAAATAGTGAGTACATGACAAACAAGTAGAAAGTAATCATAACAGAGCACGCATAGTAATATTTGGCTTTCCCTAAGAAAGAACGAGAGATTTACATACATACCACACAATTCCTAAGTATTTATATATGTAACACCTGAACTTCAATTTTTACATATAAGCCGCCTTACCTTCGTATGAGAATGTGTATTTCACTTTTTTAAAGTTAAAATAGTTGTATGTTTGATATGTTATGAAAGATTTCAATGGTATAAATATAAAAAGTTAAAGTTCAGTTGTTCGATATGTAAATACAAAGGAATTGGGTGGCAGGTATGTAAATGCCTCAAAATGAAAACGGAATAATCATCCAACAAAACCCCATTTTCCATTGACATGAATTCAAAACCTCTTCAAAAATAAAAGAATATGAATCTGAAGACTGACATCCATAAAGCAAAAACCTAAAGATATTATGTGTTATGATAAATAAACTTCCATATTTCTCCTGTTCAAATTAGAACTTGAGAAAAATAACCGCCTCCACACTACAATAAACAGCTAAAATTGCAAATATGCCCAAGAAAAGAGTGTTCCTGAACATCAAATTCAAGAAAAATACACAACTTCTAACATTAAAACATCATTCATCAAAATTTGATCAATGTGTTGTTTGTTATGTTCTCTCCAATCCGTTTTATTGGACACCTTTGGCCTAATTTATCTGGGAGATTTACATAATTAAATCAGTAATATCATTTCCCTATATGTCTATTTCAACAAAAAGAAGAAACATAAAAAGGCAAGGCAAGACAGTTACATTCTAGGAACTTCTCACATGGTAGCGGCTTGGCACGTTATGATTCATGTTCACACTTCACTATTTCCGAACGAAAAAGTAAATGTTACGGGATTTCTATCATGGGAAATTTACACACATATCAAAAAAATTTTATGCATTTGCATATCTAGCACGCAAAGTTTGATAATTACACTTATAACATCTTGGTGTCATAATCCTATGTATTAAAAGGTGTACTCACTTTTAGAAAGAAAATTATGATGGTATTTTTGATGTGATGTTAAAGATTTGAGTGCTACGCATGTAAATACAAATTTATAGGTGTTAGATATGTAAATACATAAAAATTGTGTGCACGTATGTTTTATTTTCAAATAAACCAATTCCTTATTGTGACTAGGAACCAAAACTTTACAAAAACATTTATAACCAATTTGCACGTAACTTGACCTACAGTAATGAAGAGCTGGTAAGATGTTTACAAGTTAACTCCGGTTGCATTTCAAAAAACTAAAGTGCCGAAATGGTATCCTGACTACTTAGATTAGACCACATTAGTCCCACAGTTTATAAAAGTGCGAAATTGGTCCCTAAACTATTTTAATGGGGGCTAAAATAACCTTCATTGAGGACTATTTTAATCCATATTAAGAAAATCTGAGGACTAAATTGACACTTCTATAAACTCAGGGACTAAAATGACCCCAACAAAGACTGAGGGGGCCATTTTATTGGGGTCATTTTACCACTTTTCTCCATTTCAAAATATAGAAATCATTTACGGAAGCTTGAAAATGTTCTAGAAAATTAAAAGGTGATCAAGAAAAAAAGAAGGAAAAAAATGCAATGTTGGAGGAAAAAAGAAGTACAAAAAGATCTGTCGTATCATTAATATCTACCGAAGTACAAATATCCTCACATCAAATAAACCACCACTACTTAGAATGAAAGAGATGAGTTATTATCAAAATGACAGTAACAACTAAAATTTACATAAGTTACAAGCAGGTTTTATGAACAAAAAAAACATAATTGCACATTTACCTTGATAGTTCAGACATTACACACTCTCAGCTGGAGTAAGCTGCCCAATCTTCTCAGCAAGGTGATCAACATTCTTCCTATTCCACCAATGGTTTCCCCATTCAACTTTGCTCACTTCAGTTCTTCTTTCACCTAATTCCTTTCTCTCAGACTGAACTTCTTGCATGTCAGACCCCGGAGTCTCCGTGAAAAATTGCTGCCAAAATACATCATTTCCTCCAGTAGGAACAGAGGTTCCAGCCCCATTAGTTGAATCTCTTGATAAACGTGGATCAGGAGCAGCGGGCGCAGAATTTACATCTATATCCGAAATATTAACCCTCAGAGTCCTCGGAACCTCCGACAAAGAAACGCCGCTGTTTTCCGCATAACTCGTGGAGTCCGTAAGGTCTAGAGAAGAGCGAAAATCTCCAACACAGGGAGACGAAGGATGCATTTTAGGCGAACTTGATGGCGAGTTCACAACATTCTCCCTTGCAGAATCAGTAGGTAATACAGCATAAGGAAGAACAGTGCTACAATCGTAATGCACTTCTCCTGTAGAAGCCAGGGTTACACTGCGCAAAAAACTCTCTAAAGTGTTCAATGTGGATTCCATCTTCTCGAACGGTACGAGATCGAACGCCTGTGCGGATGAAGTTTCGGATTTCTGCGTGGTGGTGGGTTGAATATCGTAAATTTGGTTTTTTTCGGGGTCGTCTTGAATGGAATCTTGAATCAGCAGCCTTCTCTTCTTCGAATGGAATTCAGGCTGCTGAACGATATTTGAGAGAAAGCCAGGAATTTGGACAATATTAGACAAGAATTCCATGATATCCCTTTGGCGATCCAATAAAAACTGCATTTTTTCCTCCAAAGAAAGCATTTTTCGCTCCACTCCATTCTGCTGCTCTATGTGCTTATTGAGCTCCAGAACAAGGCTGCTTTTGTCACGCCTGAGCCTCTCAATCTTTCCTTCAAGCTCGTATCTTTCTGCTTCAGATAATGATGGCGAAGCACCGACCTGCGCCTGAAGGGAATGGCTGTGTACCGGCTTCCGCCGATGAATATTACTCAGCAGATGTTTCTGCCCCCTGGTGAACTCCTCATTGGCGAATTCCCACTGCTCTGGATCTATTTTTCTAAAACCCTGAAATAATTGGAAAATAAGCACATAAAGCCCTTAAAATTCAGATATCCAGCAAGATTTTTAACTGATTTGACGCTAAAAAAGTACTTAACAGTTTTTTTTTTTTTTTCCATACTTCAATCTTATAAATAAACATGCTCATCTCTATCAGAAACTGTCAAAATACATATAACTCAGTGATTTCAGTCCCATCTAACTCATAAAAAAACATTGCAGCAAACAACAAGATCAATCAATCAGGATCAATATCTCAATTACAGAACAACAGAAGATTTATTTTAACATACATATGTATTAAGCTGCCGGACAAAACTGGAGAAATTATTATGCTTGAAGTACTTGGGTAACAGATCCCTCGAAAAGACCGTCGTGTTCCACACAATAAAGCTATCACCTGCGTTACTCCACGAGACAACCGAATCGGTTGTGGAATCATCCACCATCTCATACGTCTTCGTGAGGAATGGCGGCGGGGAATTCGATCCACCCTCCATCACATCGATCACTAATCACTCGCAGCTGTAAAACCCTAATCGAAGTAGACGATTCTAAGAGACGAAGGGGTGGAAGAAGCGAGGCGGGACTAGAGAGAGATTGGCGATTAGGGTTTGCGAAATCAAAAGAGATCTGGAAGACTTTGTCGAGGTCAATTTTGCGCCGTGGGAATCTGTGGAGAGGAAGCGGAGGGGAGGAGAAGGTTTCGTTTTGAGGAAGGTTCAGAGCGCGCGCTTGAGCGGTTGGGTTGTCTGACCAGCCTCCCTATCTATTTCTTATATGGGAATTATTTATTAATTATTATAATTTATTTTCGAAGAAGAGAAGGCTGCTGATTCAAGATTACGGGAATTCAATATGTTTATTATTATAATTTATTTTCGAAGAAGAGAAGGCTGCTGATACAAGATTACGGGAATCCTTAGTTGTTTGCCTCAGCCATCACCGGATCTTCAATATGTTCTTATTGTTTATTCTGTGTTCGGGATATATCATTATATCGTATTCACTATGTATCATTATATCATATTCAAGGTATATTGTTACATCATATTCATGATACGTCATTACAATATATTTAAGTACATCATTACACCGTGTTCAGAGTAATTCGTTACAACATGTTCAAGGTACTTTGTTATATTGTATTAGGTGTACTTTGTTAACATGCATTTGGGTATTTCATTACACTGCCTTCGAGGTACTTTATTACAACTTGTTTAGTGTACTTCATTATAGTGCATTCACAGTACTTTGTTAACATGCATTTGGGGGTATTTTGTTACACCCCGAGGTTTTTGACGACAGTCAATGAAGGTCGCAGGCGGTGTTCGACGATGAATAACAACTATGGAGATCAAAAATTATTGTTATGACTTCTGTTTAGAAAATCAACGAAATTCCATTTCTTTTCCTCTCTCTCTCAAATAAAGAGATGACATCTATTTATAGGATCCACATAAGAGGAACTTTGGTAATTCAACCAATAACTTCCATAACCACTTGATTGGATGACTCAAATTGATCTACTTTTATAATAAAATGTTATTTGATGATTTGAGAGTTGTGAGGACAATGAAATCAATTAATCTTGCGCTTGTTGTATTTTGCTCATCGAGATGCTCGATTTGACTACAGGCACATCGAATTTGGAGTTCATTTGACCTTATATTCATCCACCCAAAACATCCAAATATTGTTCAATAGCTTACTGCAAGCTTGATCAAACTCAAATTGGATCAATTTTAGTGTCATTGGGTTCTTCTCATCGAGCCGATTAGTTTGACTGTAAGTTTGTTAAAATTATGGATCTGGATAATTTTTAATTTGAATCAAAATATTTCTTACTCAAAAAATGTTTTGAGATTTGTCCAAATGATAAAATTTGTTGACGACCCGTTACAATATATATATGTAGAGAGAGAGAGAGAGAGAGAGGAGAGAGAGAGATTAGAACTAATTATATTATTTATCTCAAGAGAGAGAGAGAGAGAGAGGGAGAGAGAGAGATTAGAACTAGTTATATTATTTATCTCAAAAGATCAGAACCTAGATTAATTGAATGTTGAGAAACTTTAGGGATATTTAAATACAGGGCACCCAATTCCTACGTATTTACATATCTAGCCTCTGAACTTAGCAATTCCTACGTATTTACATATCTAGCCTCTGAACTTAGTCATATTTATATCTTTCAAACCTTCCATTTCACATCAAAATATTGCTATTTTAATTTTAAAAAAGTGAAATATTCTTTCTAATGTTCAAATGATAACATTTGAAAAAAAAAAAAGTAAAGTTTAACGGTTAGATATGTAAATAAATATGAACTGAGTGGCTTGAATGCAAATCATTCAAACCTTATCTTGAATACTTGTCATCCATTGATGCTCTAAATTAAAATATGGCATACAATTTTGACTTATGTTGGGATATGCCAACAACTTAAAAAGGTAAAATACACCTCTTTTCCTTAATCATTAGCTTGAGCCACATCTAGGAAGCTTATCTAAGGAAAAGATCCAGCTACTTTTACTTTATTACAAAGAAATCCACTTTTTCAAATTATATGTAAACATTATAACTGTGTTGGAGTTAAGGATTATGAAACTAATAATATTAATGAAAAAAATTAAATAGGAACTTCCCACATCATGAAAGCTCTTTATGGTATAGATTGACTGTAATAATCATATTCTTTTATAACTCTTCTCCTAAATTGGAGAAGGCTGAATTACAAAGATATGGTCACATATATCAAAGAATAGTTTGGCTATAATAGCCTAAATGTGACTAAAGCATTTGGCCACAAATGGCATATAAGTGAGATAATAGGTCACAGTAGGTGACTATAAAAGCAGCAGTCCGCCAAAAATGACGTAATTGGAAACTTTGTCAGTAGTAGTTGGTCACAAAAGCTATAGTCGATGGCAGCAACAACACTTCTCCACAAAGACAGTAGTTAAAAGAGACAATACTTGTTGGTATATGTCGTACAGAAAGATACAACTGCTAGGAACAACTATCTTATTCAGAATACAATGGTAAAAAATAGTGGTCAATGTTGGTCAGTGGTCGACGACAATGAGTGATGATTGTCGACAGTGGTCAATAATGATGGGTGGCTCCAAAGGCTAAAGTTTTTGTCAGGTCTTCAATAGAAGTATTATATGTTACTGTTGTATTTGTGATATGACATTTACAAGCAGGGATCATCAGCGGTGGGTTTTTAGCGAAAACAATCGTTGATGGTCTGTGGTTGTCGATGGGAGGTGGTCGACATCGGTGGACGACTATGGAGGTTGAAAATTATCATCATGTCTTTAACACTGGTGTTATATGGTACACATGTATTTGTGATATGATGTTTAAAAGCAAGGGTCGTCAATGATAAGAGTTCGACAGACGTAGGATGTCGGTGGCGGCAGTGATGGCCAACAAAGATCGACGGTGGTTGATGATGATCATCGGGTGGTGATCGAATGTAGTCAGAAGTTATTATTGAAACTTCAATAAAAGTGTTATATGTTACAACTGTATTTGAGACATGCATTTCCAAGAAAGTGTCATTAGTGGTGAGAGGTCAACAATAATAAGCAGTGACGACTTGTGGTGGTTGACGATGGTCAAGGGGCTGTGGTCGACTGTGATTTGCAACTACAGAAGCCAAAAGTTATTGTCAAGTATTCCATCCAAAAAGGGCTCAGGAATTCCTCATCTTCCTCTTCCCCTTCAAGTTAAGAAAGTGAGTATCTGTATAGCTTATTAGAGATGGGCATTTTGGTCATTTAGTGTGTAATTTTCCTAACCACCTGATAGAACAGTCCATATTGACCCCCCTTGATTATAGATGGTTTTTTGATGACATGAATGCCTTAACAACCATAAAATTGAGTCATGTTAGGCCCGCTCGATTTCTCTTATGGAGATGCTCAATGTGACTATAAATATGCAAATTTGTAGTTCATTTAGTCATTCAATTGATAATCCAAAGCCTCAAAATGTGCTTCAATGACTTGATCTATGTTAGATTGGATTTAAATTGACCAAACTTTGATATCATTGGTTTGACTTATCGAGACGGTTTGTTTGGCAATAAACTTGTTGATATCAGGGTCTTGAATGATCTTGAATTTGAATTAGAATGTTTATTATTCAAAAAATGAATTCAGATTCATATTAGATGATAAAATTTTCTTAATGACGCATCAATTTCCCCTCTATTTGCGGACATCATTGCTTGCATCGTCCACAAAAAAAAATATTCCCAAAAATGATATTATAACAAGATTTGAGTTGTCAGGGAAGCTTTGTATAGTTTTGACAATGTTGACTTGTTACTATTGGTGGTAGCGATGAATGAACAATAATGGTTCGACTGAGACCGAGCAGTGATTGTCTGGTAGTGGCAATGACCATGCAGTGGTCTGACGATGACGACGATGATGGTTGGGCAACGGTGGTTTGGTGATGGCGGCGGCTAGAAAGAGGTGATACTGTGGCAGTGAAGGTGGTTGTCGGGCCCCAGCCATAAGGTGAGGGCCCGACATTTTAGCGCTTATACATGCATAATCGGGCGTGCATTTGTGTTCACATAAGTAAAGGGTTACAATTATGTTTTAATGACGCGGTGGGATCCATAAGCGCTAGCATGGACGCAACATCCTGTGTGAGAGAGTTTTGGTGGACATATGGTCACATGCAAGGCGTACGATTTTGCTTGTGTGTGTGTGCTTGTGTCCGCCAGCGCTACATGGGGGTTGTTGCGTGCAACGGTGGTGGCAACGGGCATCATGACGGTGGGTAGTGCAACAAGACAACCTAATGGTGCGGCGACATAACAACAGGGAAGGCATGCATGCTTGTCAATGTGATAGCAGATGTGGATCGAGTCAGCGAGATATAGGTTCGTGTGATGTGGATGGATCAAGTCTCCACAATCATGGGTCAACGTGACATGTGTGAACCAGATGTCCTTGGTTGTTGGTTTGTGTGTCGACACGACATAGGCAGCCGTGTCTCTGCGATTGTGGGGGCTCGTATGGGGCAAGCTGATCAGGTCCCAGTTCTCGTGAAGGTGTGAGCGGGGCAGGCAGACCAAGTTAACACCAGTTGTAAGCCGTTTTGGTTGTTTATGACTGGTCGTGGTTGACAGCTACAAAGGTCGGAAGTCACTATTAGTTCTTTAGTCCACAACAGGCTCTAAAATTCCTTCGCCTCTCACTCAAGTGAAGAGAGAGGGTTTCCATATAGCATATAGGGAAGGGACATTTTGGTCATTTTGCTTATAACTTTCCCATGCATCTGATTGGACGGTTCATATCAACCCCCTTGATCATATATGATTTTTTAATGATTTTAAAGCATTTATGACCTTGAAATTGAATGATCTTAGACTCGCTGGCTCCTCTCGTTGAGATGCTTGATCTGAATATAAATATGTGAAATTTGAAGTTCAATTGACCATTTAATTGATGACCTAAAGCCTTCACTATTCTTCAATTGCCTGATCAAAGCTTTACTGGACCCGAATTGTCCCGACTTTGTCATCATCGGGTTCATCTTATCGAGACACTTAATTTGAAAATAAATTTGTTGAAATTGAGATTATGTATGATCTTAAATTTGAATCTAAAATTCTTATTGCCAAAAAAACTCATTTGTCTTAAATAACTCAATAGGATAAACCAAGGCAACGTGGAGAGCTATGAATTGAAGTTTATAAAGCTCAATGTAATTTATTTCAACAATCATT